AAAATATAAAAACATAGGAAATTTTAAATCAAAATAAAATATTTATTTAATTAAACGTACAATTAGCGAAACTGCAACTAGAATAAGAAACTCCATGGCCAATCTCGTTGGTAGCAGTTACTGAATTTATTTTGGTAAAACTTGTACCAGGAGGGCAAAGAGTTATTCTCCGAATTTTTGGGCAGAATTTGATCCGCAATGTTCTTTTTATTTTGTAGCGAGTCTTCTATATACCCCTCCGCTACTGTACTAGACTTCCATCCACCGTGTCTCTTGATTATAGTAAGATTAGCACCAGAGTCCGCCAACAAACTCGCTGAGGAACGTCGGAAACAATGTCCGGTATAAAGATGGGGATCAGGCAAATTCAGAAATTTAGCGATTTCGGCAGGGATCTTACCAAATGTGTTGATTCCAACTGGAGTCTTGGCACATTTGTTATTGCTGTATTTTATAAAAAATCTTGAGTGATTGATATCCGCTGGTAGGAGGGATAGGTACTTCTTATAGTAGTTTATATACAATGTACCACTAATAACGTAATTTCGTTGCACATTAGTTTTAGTGTCTGGTATATGCACAACTAATGAAGTTCCCAAATCTTCAATGTTATTTAATGTCAAATTGCAAAGTTCTTCTCGACGGCAAGCTCCAAATACACCGAAAATTGCGGCAACTTTTCGCATAAGATGTATTTCATCCGGGGCTTCTGCGAGAAATTTATCGATTTGTTCACTCCGCAACACTTTTGACTTTTTCGGTCGATATCCTTCACCCTTTCGCTTTAAAAAAGCTACAAGCTTGTAAAATCTGCTTATGTCCTGATTATTTATGTTCATCATCGCCTTTATCATTGAGTAATTTGACCAAAGCGTAGAAGATTTCCATATTTTTGATTTTTCTTCAAAGTATGCAAGGAGCACTTTTTCACTGGCCTCCTTGCCACTTACTTTTTTTTCATCACACCATTTCAAGAAACGATCGTATGAAAACTCGTACTGTTGCTTTGACTTGCTAGGCAATAATTCAAAAGTAGCTTTATTGGCAGCTTCTTCAATTTCCGCCGGGAGAAATTCATTGTCTTGATCACTTTCCATCGCCCAGAAAATAAACCACAATGAAACTGGATGAAACCACGCAAAAACCAAAAATTGTGCAAAAACCTTAAGCAAAAATTCGTGATTATTTGACGTTACTAATCAACAATGACAAACAGAGATGACAAATAAAAATAAACAAATTCATTTTTTTTTCTTGCCAGCAACCTATTTCATAAATAAATTAGATGAAAGATTTGAAATTGAGGATTGCAAGGATGCGTTAATTGGACTTTTAAAGAGTGTTTGTAGAAAAAATAGTGTATGATATTCGTGCTAAAAGTGATTTTATTTTGTTCAAAGGGATGGAACACTCCGCCTTCGGCGTCGTGTCCCAAACTTCCCTTTTCACAAAATAAAATCTCACTTTTAGCACTTATATCATAAATAACTATTTTGATGAAAAATGTCACGATTGCTTGAATTAAATTTATGGCGCCAATTTTTTGGCATTGGCCATGCATTGACCACCATTTTGTTTGGATTGCCCTATTGAAAAGTTGGGTTAAGTTTTCCATAGGGATGAGAATCGATTCCATATCCGATACTTACAAATCTGTGAATTCGATATATCGATTTAGTTGTCGCCCCCAGGAAAAGTTTACATGAAATTCTTGACATCTGGGCAACACTGAATAAAATTGACCAATTTGAACTTCAAATCGAAATTTAGAGCCTTTGCAAGGCCGAAAAAAATGGGAAAAAATACAGTTGAGCTTTATTTTGACTCCTCTTTCCAATAAGCAAATAAAAAAATTCATGCAAGAGGTCCATTTCCTTATTATAAAAGTAGGCAAAGTTTTTTGTTTCATTGTGTTGTTTTATTCTGACCGCAACCTTTATGTTTCTGTATCGGCTGTACCTTTTATATGAATGAAACAAAAAAACACGCGTTTTCAAATGGTAAAGGTTTTATCTAGTTGGAAGTCACTTTTTTTAAATCGAAAACTAGAAAGCTTCTGGCACCCGATGGACTATTAGAAATGGTAGTATTTAGGGAGAATATTTCTTGAATTTCTATTACTATTGACTTCGGCGTCTCTAATTTACAATACTAACAATATATTTTTTTGTATGGGAAAATTTTACATGAGTGAATATTCGCCGAGGAAAAAAAGTGAAGTAAAATAACGAACCCTGTGCAGTGTTATTTTCACTCATCAGTAAGTGATCGTACTAGGTTGAAGGCATCAAGAAAATTAAAAAAAGGAATTTTTGGGTGGTTTATTTTTTGCAAAGTTACGGGAGGGCGGTTGCGGCGGGACTTTTTGACGAGAAGTTGGAAACTCTGATCCAGCAGCTAAAAACATCTAAAAACATTGCTTACCCATTTCGTACAATTTATCATAGAACAATTGAGGGTACCTACAGCGCCGTAGCCAGGGGGGGGGCATTGGGGGGCAATGCCCTATCTTTTAAATGATGATGCCCTACCTTTAAAAATCAACATGCATTTAGGTTTCTTTAGAAAATTTAAGAGTAGATAATGCCTGAAGTAGATAGGCCTGAAATCGAGTAAGCGAGGATGAATGTTTCCGAAAATGCCTAAATCTAATGAACAATGTTTGACGTTTGCACAGAGGAAGTTTTTTGTTTTCAAAGAGTGCGAATGACCCAAGGCGGCCGGCGCGAGAATCCGTGCCATTTTGTTTACTTGCCAGAGATGTTATTAATTGATGCAAGGTTGTTTGATAGAAGCAAGAGAGGTAGGATGCCTGGTAACTTTATGACGTCATCTGGGGTGCCTCAACATAATGCAAATCTCTAGAAGGTATCCTAGATCAGATGTGTCATCAAGTTACCCCTTACCATACAACCTGAACCTTGATTTATTGAAAAATTTGCCTTCGGCGCCATTAGCCTCAATTTGTTTACCTATAAAAAAACGCTGTGTCTAGCCTTCCGGCACCGGTATTCATATGAATCCCGGTTATGACGCTTTTTTAATGAAGACAACAACAACCACCGGTAACTAAAAAAAGTAAACGAAGTCGGGCGCGATAAGCTTTCATTTATGGGAAATAAAATTATGACTTCTAACGATGCGCAAAAAAACGACTCTAGATTTAACTCAATCCCATATAATTTGAGGGCTGACCTTGAAAATTTAAAGTTAAATATCTCAAAAAGGAAATATTCTCGAATGCAACCGTTTGAAGCACTGAGAAGCACTAACGAAGCACTAAAAACTGACACCAAAATTGGGTAATTCGGAAAATTTTTGGGGGCTGACCTTGAAGTGAAAATCTAAAATATCTAAGAAATAAGAAAAGCACTTTCGAAACTATTTGAAGCACTAAAAAGCACTAACGAAGCACTAAAACATAGTAACAAATTTCGTTCATTTTGACATATTGTCAGGGCTGACCTTGAAACTACAAAAAAATCGATATACAGAAAACGAAAAAAGCACTAACGAAAACAATTGAAGCACTAAGAAGCACTAACGAAGAACTAACAAACAACATATTTTTCCAAAAAAAAATTAACACTTTAGGGGCCAACTTCACGGACCTACATACTATTCCCTTTTTAAACCACTACTACGACAAGCGGATTAACGAAGTACTATTACCACTCTAATACCAATATCACAACAAGAAACAATAATACACAAAAGCTGTTTCCAAATTATTTACAGCCTGAAGCAGCAAGAGAAACACTACTTTGAATTTTGAATCCAATATCCGGTATCCACGATAAATCCCGGCGGTCGTTGATCACGTCAATGAAAACGCGTCGTAACCGGGATTCGCATGGATACCGTGTTCGTGTTAGGGCCTCTAACTGAGGTGTCAACATTTAATTTAGGGATAGATCACTGGATCATAAAGGGGATGAGGATGTCACTGCTAAATAATGCACTCACACTTCCAGTTTTATATCTCTCTATTGTTGCCAAAATAATCGTTTAATAAAGTAATAAATACTGTAACCACATTCAAGTACTTTTAATTATTCACAGGTTAGTTAACAAGTCGCATTTGAGTTATTCGAGAACATTCACAGCCATTAACAATAATTGTCAGTATTAGCGGAACGCTAATATTTTAGTTGAGAGCACAAGATAAAGTTTATTCTTAATAGAAATCTTTGGGAGTTGAGAGTTTTTATATTTTTAGAGAGCCCTTAAAAAAGGGGAGTGTGATTAACTCAATGTTTTACGCGATATTATATCACTTGAGTTTTCAAGCCAGCAGCCAGAGAGATAAAAAAATAAGTCTTTTTATTTAGAGAGCGAGAGAGAGACTGCACAAGGGTGCAACTAGAGAGAATAATTAAATAATTAGAGAAAAGTGAGCAGGTTCAAACTTGTATAGAGCTAGACGTTTTTACGCACTATTTACTGCTAGTGAAACCACACTACTAAAATCACACTGCTAAAAATCACACTGCGAAGTGAAAAAGATAAGGAATGCATTTTTTCCCTTAGCGACAACAACCAGACTCGGTCGATGCGTACAGCCTGGTACGGCGCCAGCGGCAAAGTTTCACGGCGGGGGGCTTTTTTGCTACGTTGCCACTGTGATCATAAAAAATAAATACGATTGTTTGGCTGTTTCCACAACATACCGGTTAAGCTGTGTACCGGTGCCGGGAGGCTAGACACAGCGATAAAAAAATTAAGGGGTGGGGGGGCAAGTAGTGTATGCCCTATGTCAAATTTGTCATGCCCTACCTTAAATTTGACTCTAGCTACGGCCCTGGGTACCTATCTCCTTTCAACACATAGCACACACATGAGACATCATTGGAAGGAGCTGCTGAGGTTTTTGAAAATCGAGCTATTCAAGGAAATACTGTTCTGCTTGCTATTTTTCCTTTTTCCTCGAGAACTGTTGATTGTGTTCCTGCATAAAAAATTGCTCCACTCGTAAACAATTTTTATTTTTTGATAAATTTGGAACAGTAAGTAACAGAGTAGAGTCACTTCATGGATAAGTGGATATGAGTTTGTTGTTTAAATAATTGTGAAAAAAGTAATAAATATATACAATTCATCTTACCTATATGGAAATAGTAAATTTACAAAACATTTTCCTAAAATAAACTAAATCTACTGAAAGCGAGGCGAGTTAGCTGAACATGATATTTTTTTTCAAATAACCGATTGAAAAAGTTTTCCATCATTTGTCACTACTTAAATTTACACTGACTCTCGCCACCTTAACGAACGAAAAATTGATGTAATAAGATATTTTCAGGTGAAACTCAAAAGTTGTTTCATCCTGAAGCGTTTTATTTATTGTTCCTATAGTTCTCATACTTCTGTATATCTTCCATTCTCGCGGTAACATGAACCTTCTTTGCAGCTTCTAAAAAGTCCCTAACCGTAACGGGTCTACATCTTACTGAACCGGGCGGCAAATTTTTTAATTCGCTCACTTCGATAACGATTCCATTGGTCAGCAACTCCGCTTCATTAATAATCGGTTCGAAACACCCGTCCGGTGTGAACCTCCATAATTTCGCGTATTCCAATTCATTCAAAGGCATATGCTGGGCATCATTGACCAAATTGGCAATGTCCGAGCCAGTAAAACCTTCGGTTACACTTATAAATTCAGAGAGCTGTTCCTGATTTTGAAATATGGAAAGGTCTTTAGCGAGAATTTGAAACAGTTCGATCCTATCTTCTGCGGTTGGTAAAGGAACAAAAATATGTTTTTGGAATCGTCGTAAAAACGCAGCGTCCAAATCCCAGGGACAATTTGTCGCTGCTAGTATAACGCAGTTTCGCAACTGTTCCATTTTGTTTAGCTGGCACATTAGTTCCGTTTTTATTCTAAAAAAATACATCAGTTTATAATTTGTTGTTACGTCTGTATAGTCCGTTGCATGGTTCTTGACCTACGTCTACTGAATAGACAGAGGGGACAATGGGCTATTGCTGCGTTGTCAGTTGTCATATCGATAATATTTATTAATACATGAAAATTGCAATAAAATTTCCTTCACTTTCATGTAATAATAAATATTATTATTGATATGACAACGCAGCAATACAATAGCCCATTGTTCTTTCTGTCTATTCAGTAGTCGTAGCTCAAGAACCATGCAACGGACTATATGTATTCGTATTTGGTTGGTTTTAAATTTATATAGCTAAGAGCTAAGCTAGGTTACAGGTTGCAACAAAGGTGGGCACAGTTAATCGAAAAGTTAACTTCGCTAATCGTTAATTCGCTACTTGAAAAGTTAACTTCGATAATCGTTAATCGTTAAATTTTTGAGAATATAAAGCAAGTTAAAGTTATCCGTTAAGAGTTAATCATTGGAAAGTTATACTGATGTTTGAAGCTAATTATAAGTAATAGATAATTGAAATAGAATAGGCTGGGCTACGGTATAGGGTATTGTATTTTTAATACCTATTTGGAAGTACCAGTCGTTTTAGTGATTTGTTGGTAATTTTTTGTTTCATCTGATTCAAGAATTCAAGATTGATGAACATGGATGGTGTGATTCCAAATGGGTATTACAAATACTATACTTACACTCCTACATAGGTGAATGTGAATAAAACAAAAAGCATCTAGATCTAAAAAGCGTCACTATTTTCAATTTAGGTAATTTATTTATTTAGCATTCATCTCTGCAAAACGAGCTTATAGAACAATGCAGAAAACGCCACAGCCCATCGATACGCCTCAGCTCACAGCCTACCATGGGCGTCGTTACGAGGTTTCTCAGGGGGGGGGGGGCAGTATCATAATAACAAAGTCTAATAAGACCGTTTCCATTAGCGCCGTAGGCTAATTTTTTTTTGGTGCCACCCCCCTTTTGGAGCATTTTAACGTACTTATTTGATATCGATATTTGGTTAAAAATTATGGTATTTTTTTCCGCAACAAATTCACTGTCCGCATCATTTGTTTAGGTAATTTTCTAATGGCCAGTACCTACCTACGTATTATAAAACACTGAATCGATGATTGAGTTTCAACCTTCGGTTGACTCCATGCAAATTAATAGGATTCAACCGAAGGTTGAAAGTCTACCATCGGTTCAGTGTTTTATAATACCGGCTCTAAGTCAAGTGCAATTCAATTCCGTTGAATACTATGAAAATGTCAGCCAATGTTTCACCGCACAGCGTATTCATTGAAGGTCGTTACTCAAATAGGTAATCACTAATCTTTCAGTAGTAATATAACAAGTGCAATGAAAATGATCGATAATTTTTGGGAAATTTGCCTGAATGCATTTTTAGTTGAAAAATACGAGCACGAGTGCCTTTTTCAGTTAAAAACGCATGAGTGCAAATTTTTCAAAAATTATAGATATATTTTCATTGCACGAGTTATATTTTATATGAAAATTTCCTGAATCATAATAGCTGTTCGCAGTATTTCACTATAGGGACCTTGTTCAAAACAATCCATGGGCGCCGCCAGCCAGCGGGACAAGGGGGGGCAAGGCACGGGGGTCCTGTCCCCGTACATACGCCACTGGTGTAAATTTTCGCAAGCGTCAAGGTCATTTTCATGTATGTATAAAATGTATGCTCTTTTGTGGATTTCTATTGACATATGTTTTAGTGTACTATATTTTATAAAAAACAATTTTGGATTAATTTTCTCTGCTATTCCATCCACAGACAGGGCCGGTTTAATCGTAGGTAATACCATAAGAGCTCAGATTTAGCCGGATATTTTTTGGCTTGGTCTCGAATACTTACTTTCAGGAAATTTAACGAGAGCTGTTCTGACAAAATCACGAGAGCGCAGCTCGAGTGATTTTGTGGAACCGATCGAGATAAATTGCATGAAAGCAAGTATGAGAGAGCAAGCAAAAAAATATCCTGCTCAAAATCTGAGCTCGAATGGTATTTAGTACGGCAATTTCACGAATGTAACATCAAAATAAAAAATGTATTTATCTCAGATAACAAAACACTTTTAATAAGCTAAAATGATCGAATTTGCGAATTTTTGTGACACAATAATTTGACAGATGATTCAAAAATCAATTTAATATGCCCTTGTTACTATGGTAAAGATAGCACCAACAGAAAATTTATCCGATTTTTTTATCCAGTTATATTTTCTCTTCCTTCCTATTTATCCGCTAGCAAACTACGATTTTTGACATTTCAAATGGGATTATTTATACATGAGTGGAATTGCCGGGGGTCTTTTGGGTGCAGTAGCACCGAGCGGCAAAATCTTAGGGGCGGCGCGCGCGTAACGACCCTTAAAATTTCAATGTATTGAACGATAATACGAAAAAGCAAAGCAAAAAGCTACAAGTTAGTTTAGGGATTACTACCCATACGTATAGGAAAAATAAGTAAGTACATTACGCCCGTCTCTATAGCCATGCCCAGCTCTACTTAAATTCCTGGAACCGTATTACTCGGGCGTAGGATGTCCCTGGGAATACAGTCTACCCCGATTTTTTCGATTTGGAATGAAAATCGGGAAAAACATTCGGACACGCCGATTTTTGATTTGAGGGTGAAATATCTTTCATTTTTTTTCATCCCCGTAGCTTCAATCCCTTAGCTAGGGGGAGAACAACCCCCCAAATTTAAATAGGGAATATGGGTCGTGTCACACCTCTTTTCAAAGGTCTCATCGAGTTCTTTATGGCCCTAGAATTTCGTCTTATTATTTTCATCCGCAACGAAATGACAGCTTGTCAAAATCTTGGAAATAGACTACCCCCCCCCCCAGCTATGGTTAAAACTACGGGGGTTAAAAAAAACAGAAAAATGGTTCCCCCTCAAATCAAAAATCGATGTGTCCGAGCGTTTTTCCAGATTCTCATTCCAAATCGAATAAATCGAGATGGACTGTTTTTCCTGGGACACCCTGTATAAAAGAATTAAATACATTTTTTGTCATACGCTCCCAAAAACAGCTATTTTGCGGACTCATTCAAGTTCTTTATGATTTCAAAAATTAAGGAAATTTTGCAAATTTTAGCGTTCTGAAGAATTCTAAAAAGTGTATGATCATCTGCTATTCCAGACTCGGCTAACGCCTCGTCCGGAAACAGCAATGATTCGTCCTGAAAAACTTCATTTTAGGTACTTGTGACAAAAATAACTATTTTGAAATATAATGCTCCAAAAAAATTGTTTTGTTTTTTTCCGAACTGGCGGGGGGCGCTGCGTTTTTGTAACACCTACAGTGGCTAAAAAAACCTTTACATACAGTGGCGACAATAGAGTTCCCGCCGCCATCTTGTTCCCAACCTCTTGTTACTTTCAAATATTAATATATAAGATTTAAATAGACATCTATCATAAAAAATTAAAATCGGCATATTTGATGACCATTATTAGGTTCATCAAATACGTTGTTTTCCATGTTTTATGATGGATGTTCACCTAAATCCTATATATTCATATTTAAAAGTAACAAGAGGTTGGGAACAAGATGGCGGCATTTTCAATATAAACATATGGGATTTTTGAACCAATCAAAAATGAGACCGCAATTGTCGCCACTGTGGTAATAAAGTCACTGTAGTAACACCGGGCGGCAAACTACCTTAAACCGGCACTGTCCACAGAGGCGTTTCGACCTATCAGGTCTCGTCAGTATGGCTAGGAAAGCAAAGAAAACCAATCCAAGTTTAGTGCCTGTAGGCAAAATAGTGGATAATAGGAGAAAACTTGTTTTCCCTATTCTGGGTTTTCCCAACTATCTGATTTTTGGTCGGTCTATTAGATGGTCATCACTAAATACAGCAAAAGTGCTATTTAGTGTTGAATACTAGTCTTAGATGGCGCCACGATCAAATTTCGCTCCTCGTACTAGTTCTATTTTGCCTACAGGCACTAAACTTGGATTGGTTTTCTTTGCCTTCCTAAGTTCCTAGCCATATTGACGAGTTCTGATAGGTCGAAACGCGTCTGTGGATGGAATAGCAGAGAAAATTAATCCAAAAATTTTCTCATCAGTGGATAATAGGAGAAAACTTGTTTTCCCTATTCTGGGTTTTTCCAAATATCTGATTTTTGGTCGGCCTATTAGATGGTCATCACTAAATACAGCAAAAGTGCTATTTTGTGTTGAATCCTAGTCTTAGATGGCACCACAATCAAATTTCGCTCGTCGTACTATTTTATAATAAATAAATATATTTTGATTTTGCTGTATAATTCAACTTTCTGAATACCAGGGGGGGCAAATGCCCGATTTGCCCCCCCCCCTGCCGGCGCCCATGAAACAATCATTATGTTGCTATGTTGTCAATCAACAAATTTTTCAAAAATTTCATTTAAAAAATAATTTCGAATTTGTAATAATGATAAAAGTATCGAAGACCTTACGCCGATCAATACGAAGAGATCAAAAACGTCGATATGGAAATATTCTAATCTACTGTATAAAAGGTTATAATTTGTGTCTAATTTACTGTGTACAGGGTGTTCCATTGAAGATGGGAATTGGGGTTATCTGCTAAACTCGTAGAGATAGATTTTTTTTGATTTCACATTCCAGGGTCAATTTTTTATGACGAATCGAATGCCGCAAACCGCAGGTCTCTATCTTGTTTCGTTTCAGAGATACAGGGTGAAACTTGAAATGTTCACTTTTCGGAGGTAGTCATTATCTAGCGTATGAAAAAAGATTTCAAAAAGATGAAAATTGTATCTGACGCAGTTTTTTACGTAGATTTCATTGGCGTACTGAAATTTTCTTTCCGAGATACTGTTTAAGAGATATGACACAAACTTCATCTTTTTTGGATGGGACACCCTGTAAGTTTTTACATTTTTAGAACGCGCATAAAATTTCCTTTCTAATGATATATAATTTGTCTATATTC